TTCATTTCAATAAAACTTTTCTTTACTTAATGTTCATTTCTTTTCGTCTTTGAAATTTCAACAAATTCCTATACAAAATGCCTTTGTGGATAGAATTGTAAAAAAAAAAAAAAATATTTGCCAGCTGTCAACAAATAATAATCACATACATATCTATGAAACAATTAATGTTCCTTTTTTCCTTTCACTTTCTATATTCAAAATTTTTTGAAATTTTGATTTACAGTATGGAAGTTGAAATTTATGAAAGTATTTAAATAATAAGCATAAAATTAAATTGAAAGAAGAATATGTATGCTTGCTTTTTCTTTAAAATAAAATTTAAAAAAGGCTGGAAAGAATTAAAGTTTAGACAGTTGAAGTGACAGGTTGAATTACATATGTAAAAATGCTTTTTTCTTCTTTTTTTATATATCAAATAATTTATTGGGGAGAATTAGAATGTGTAGTAAAGTATATAATCTAATCCATTATATAATATGTTTGTGAGGGAATTGCTATTTCCCTTTAAAAATTGTTAACTTTTAAAATTAAAATTTTTCCAATAAAAAAAAGAAATATATAGAACTGCAAAAAAAAAGGAGAATTAACTAAATATATGCTGAAATATGCGGAATTTTTGTCGTATGAAAAGATAAAATAGCATTTACTTTAGATAATGAATTAATACTTTTATTTTAGATAATGAATTAATTATTCATTCATCAATTATTTTCAAATAAATAATTATTGAAATAGTTCCTTAAATTCCTGCCTTTTAATACAATATGATGAATTGCTTTCAATATTATTATTAAAATGAAAATTTTAAACTTTCATATGTAAATTTCTTCCTCATTTTTTAATGACAGACTATCATATATATTTTTCATGACAGACTATAGGTAAAAAATGAAATAAATTATTTTTTAATAAGATGATAAGCGATAAGATAAGATCTAAACATTAATAACTTTTTGGGAGAGGGAAGGAAAGGGAGAGAGAGGGAGAGAGAGAGAGAGGAACAACTAAATAAATAAATATACAAAAAATATTGGTAATAAAATTTTTTGAAAAAGAGCAATTAATGTTGTTTGGATGTTCGAAATGATTGTGATTGCATTTAAAGTCAAATATTAACAAAATAATAAAAGTCACTAACTATACCATTGAAAACTTCTTATTTACACTGCAAGATGATAAACTATTAGTTATATTTGAATTCAATAAATTTTGAGCATTATATAAATTGATAATGAAATAAATGATTAGAAGTGATTAGTTAGTGATATACATATGTACTCTCTCTCTTCTCTTTACACTATGATGAATTACTTATTCATCTTGTATTTATTAAGATAGTTGAATTGAGGTTGAAATGATGCTTGTAAATGATAATGAATTATTAGATGGCCATTTGGATACTATTTAGTTTGAAATTTTAAATGAATGAAAAGTGAATTCGATTATTACACATTATTTAATGAGAAGAACTTAACAGAAATTTTGTTTTGTTATATTTTTAGATTTAATAATTATTGCAAAAGAAATGTTTAAAGAATTGATTACATATCCGTTAAGTTAATAGTAATAATAATAGTAAATGAAGTGATTTAATGAATTTAAATTTCAAAAGATTTTTGAAATTAAAAAAATGAAAATTTTAATCTAAAAAAAAAGCTAATTTAGTATAGCAGAAGTAAAATGTAAAAATGAATTGCAAGAAGAAAAGCAAAACGATTAATGAATAAATGTGTTAATGTAAAAGTTTAAAGTAATAAAAATATATTTGAAGAATTTCAACTTAAATAAACATTTCTATTCTCTCTCTCTCTCTCTCTCTCTCTTTCTCCTTGATTATTGTTAATTATATCATCGAATGAAAAATTATTTTCCTATGTAAGTTGAAATTATGCTTAATTCAAGCGGAAACGAATAGTTGTTGCTATTTCTATTCTTTTTTTAAAATTCATATTCTGTACGCAAAGGGTAAGTTTTTAAGTATCAAAGGAAGTAATTGAATAGAAAGCACTTTACAATTTAAGATTGATTAGGTGGAAAAACTAATCTAACTAATCTAATCCCCTTTAACCTTTCTTTTTACCTTAGCAAATAATAATTCATTTCTCTTTCATCAAATTGATGTCATTACTTTGATAAGTAAGCTTTTATCATTAGACAAGAAAATATAGAAATGTTTAAATGAGCTATTGCTAGAATAAGCTTTTTTATTCTTTAAGGTTTATTGAAATTCAATTATCATAAATTTCATGTTTTTCTTGACAGCAATATTCATGTTTTTTTTCTTGACAGCATACTGTGAAAATATTGATTTCGATGATACAGCATACTTTGATATATTTTTTACGTGAACTTTAGAGATATTTTTAAAAATGATAAAATTATATCTCTTCCGATAGATCGAATATATTTAGGGAATTTGAAGAATTTATCGATCATTTTAGGAATAATAGACTTCACTAAAATTGATAACAAATAGATTTTATATGAAAAGATTGTTAACTATTTTATTCATTTATTCAAAAATTTAAATACTATATTCTTTTGCATAATATTTATTTGTGAAAGTAAAACTTTTAATTATTTCATTCGAAATTTAATTTTTATTCTTTGCAAATATACCCATTAAATGGTTGGTTATTAAATTAAATAGAACTCATTGCTTATTTTGTAGCAAAATACTACAAAATTCATCATTTTTCAACATTTCAACTCTTTTTATTGCAAAATTTATAAATGAAACGTGAAAAATGAAATATTAAATCATTCCAAAAAATTATTTTAAAAAAATTTAATGCTTAAAACGAATAGTAAATAAAACAAATAAGCAATTAAAAAACACAAAATATTTTGATGAAAAATTATCTGAATAAAATAATTAATATTTTAATTATATATGGTAAAAAAAAATTTTACCAAATTTTTAATTTGTATGCAAAATAGGATTAAACGAAATAAAAGGACATTGTTTATAATCTAAAATTAATAACAAACAGCAAAACAATAAAACAATTTAACGACAAAAAAAGAGCATTTGATTACAGAATAAAACAAAATGGAATGGATTAAATGTCAAAGGGATAGTTTTAATTTTAGGTTACCTAAAATCTAAAATTTTTTGCTTCTTGTAAACACAATAAGTTTTGATTGATGAATGTTCAGAAAAATAAACTAAAAATATCTCTAAGAAGAATGGAAACTATTTAAAAAGTGTTGCAATATATGCATAATAATATGCGGTAAATATTTATTCTTATATGAAAAGCGTTTTTAATTTATCGTATATTATACACATACAAACATACACACACATACATACACGCACAGATGGATAATTTAAATTGCTATTATTGGAATTGAGGTCGTGAAAATAGATGTGTTTATTTTGTTTGCCTAAATAACAGAATGATGGGAGAATTATGAAGAATTCAATTATTCCGGATTTGTTCCAAAGAATAGTTTGTTTCACTTGAATATTTGTATTTTCAATTAATTCTAAGAGACAACACTAAAGAGTAGGTAGGAATAGAAGTTATGTAAGATTAGGGAAAGGATGAAAAGTAAAAGCTATCATATCCAATTTAAAAATGTCCCAACTTAACTGAAATAAAAAGCTCTCTCTCTCTCTCTCAATAGAACTTAAAAACGGAAACTGAAGGAAATAAATTGAATTGGTCGAATAATTTGAAAAATTGATAATTAGTAGAAAAGAATTTTGATTTATAAACTATAAAATTATTTGTTGAAAATTTCTGGCAATTTTAACTAATCAATCATTTTTTTTTGTATTTCAAAAATACAAATGATTTAATTGTTAAAAAACAAAAGGCCTGAAAATTTAGTTTTAATTTAATGCATTTTAAGGATAGCGAAATTATTTCAAAAAGGAAAAAAGGAACATTTCATAGGACAACAATTAACAGAAATGATTTCATCCAAAAGAATTGGAATTCTATTCGTTGCAATTAAAAGACATTTTTTACATAGCGAAATTATAAAGTGACGAATATGACAAATCATCATGAATTTTTCTATTTGTTCATTCCGTTTTTCATTTCAGTTCACTTTGGTTGTCAATAATAACCTGAATGTAACAAATCAGGGCGGAAGATTTTTAAATGATTACATCGTTTCAGTTCACTTTAAATTGACATCATACGAAATTAATTTAGAAATTACTACAATGATTAAAATACAGATATCAAATCATTATTTCATTGAATTGTCAGCTTTTTCCGGATAACAATTAACAAAATCTTTCCGGATTTTTTTATCATTCATTATTATACAATTTGTAGTATTAATTAAAAAAGTGAACTAATGAAAATTAAAAAAAAAATTATTCCTTTTTGAGAAAAAGTATAGAGAAAATTCATTATCGATTTAAACAAATATCCACAAAGAAATTATTTAATTTCGTTTTTTTTAAGCCTATTGTTTAAATAATTTGCATTGTTAATTAATTTTATTCAAAATTACTAATTAATTTTTTACTAATTAATTTTTATTAGAATTGGAAAAATGAAATGAAATTTTCAAAATTTTAATTTTTTGTTCATTTTATTAAATAATTGCAAAAAAGAAATGAAAATAATTTTTATGAAATACTTAAAAAAGTTGAAAATATTTTGCATGCATGAAAGATCGACGATGTAAATTTCAAATAATTCATTAGTAAATTCAGCTTTGTTTATTGTTCTTAAAATTTAAGCCTAAATAAACCTAACAGATGACTGAAATGGAATTGAGGAATAAAAAAAAACTTATAAAAAAACAGCCTATTTGAGCTGTTAACTGATTTGAATTGAACATTTCCTAATTATTATATGACTCAGATAAATGAATTCATTTTATATGCAAAATGAATTTACATATTGTTAAAAGAAAGGCATGAGTGACAAAACATTATATATGCTTAGTAGATCGTTTGAATTAACTAGTCGGTTATCGTATTATTTTTGTAGAATGGTCAACAAATCAACGAAACAGATTTATTATTTATGAATGGCAAACAACAACTACTTATTGAATCAGCTACGGAAGAAGATGCTGGTCTATATTCATGTGTAGCGGAAAATAAACCTGGCCGAGCGGAGAAGGATCTTATCGTGGCTGTTCTTAGTCAGTCTTTTTTTTTGTTGAAATTTAGAATTTTAAAAAATTTTATATATTTTGAAATCTCTGAACTAATCAAAATCTCAGGTAATCATATTTACAATTCGAAATTAATAACTGCTTATTAAATATATTCTTTGATATTTCCCTTTTTACCTATTAATTTCTCTTTAATATGAATTCTTATTTTGTATACTAACTATTCCATTACTAAATAAAATCACAACTTATTTTTTAATTTAAAAAAATCAAATTTCAAAGAACAATTGTTGAGTGTAATAAGTAAGATTATATTATTGGAATGAATGTGAAAGCTGTTGTTTACTAAATAGCAAAGTTAAAAATCAATTTTTGAATGAGAAGTTGAAATCTTATTATTTGTACTTGTTAGGAACTGTATTTAGAACCACCACAAATGGATGGTGAACATCGTGTTTTTGAATTACCTGAAAATGAAGCAATAACACTGACCTGTCCAATCAGTGATCCATCATCAGTGGAAATGCAATGGACTAAGAATGGTATTCCAATTACTACATCGAATAACTTGCAAGTTAGTATGTTAAAAGTAGTAAATGATAAATGATAATAAAACTACGATTGCATTATTATGTTTGAATGATACGGATTTGTCATTCTGCTTGTCATTACTTCTCATAGGAAATGAGAAGAAATAAGATCAGAAGGTCAGATCAATTCCTAAAATCTAATCTTATCATACATCTATCCAAATATACAAATAGTCATGATAATTGTTAATAAAACAACAATGATTATTTAATGATCCATTGTGTATATTCATGAACAGTACATTGAATTTTAAAGTTAATTCAGTAAAAAAATAGATTAGATTACTGTTAAAAAAAAGAGTAATTTCCTCTTCCATACTGTATGAAATGAAATTTAGAGGGAAATCCGTAAAACCGGTTCTTTATTTAAAATAGGAAAAGGGCATAATTTTGGCGGGTTGTTATAAAAGTAGTGCGAAAATTCATCTAATAAATGGTATATCGTTGTGATTGATTTATTGCCAATAAAATTTATTATTTTTCGGAAATTTCTGCGGTGGTATTAAAATTAAAGGGACTGCTAGAGCGGTTTTTTTACAATTTTAAAAATTAAACTCAACGCATATAAACTTTAATTTTGACCATCGAATAATCATTTCAATTAATTTTATTACCTGAAAGTTGAACAAAAGCCAGCATATTTAATATCAAATGATATATTACGAAAAGTATTTGAAAATTGTCATTTTTTTGAGTTTGAAATTAATTGAAATAGTATAGACTGAAATGAAATAAAAAAGTATAATGGTTTATTATGAGTTGCAGTTATCAACAAGTGGCTTAAAGTTGCATATCCTACATGGACAACTCTATGATGCAGGTCGATATATTTGTCGAGCATGGAATGATGCTGGTGAAGCAATTGCATACATGAATGTCGTCGTTTTAGGTAAATTTAATTAAGCAAGAAAAAGTTGGCAATTTCAATTATTCTACAAGCCAGGAACTTATTAGCTTTTATTTAAAATTAAATTACTTGCCAACTTCAATTATTCACAGATGCAATGAATTACTTTACTTAAGCAACAATTAACAAAAAGAAAAGAATAAAAGCTTTGTATTAATTCATATCATTCCGTGAATAATTTTGCTATCTTTACCGGATATATATATATATGACTCTTATTCAAATCTAAATGATATTATCTTGAAAAGATTTTTAAAAGATTGATAATATAATTTATGTTACAATATTTTGGAATTACAAATTACACGGAAGAATTCTTGAAAAGCTATTTCTTATGCTTTTTCATAAAGTTTATTTCTCTTTTTATTCAGCATGAATTGAAATGGCTTTAAGTTTCAAATTTAATTTTCCAAAAACTTTTCCTGCGAAATTATCATTTTGCTATGAAAGAAATTTTTGATGAAATTAATTTAAATTTATATTCAATCAACATTTAACTCAATGATCTGTATCTCTTTGTTTCATTAAATTGGTAAAATTGTAGAAAATACTGCGTGCAACGATAATTAATCAATTGAGTTATTTTTCGATGAAATTTCCGTAGAATTTTAATAATTTCTGCCAATCAATTTCATATTTAGAAATATAAAACTGAAAGTGAAAGAAAATTTTTATGAATAATTTCCTAAATGATATTACATATGGGCTATACAAATTGGCTTTTAGTGCCACCAAAAATTATTGGATCAGCATTTCGTACAATTGAATCAGTTTTAAATCAAACAGTTACTATTGAATGTCAAAGGACTGGTATACCAACACCAAAAATTATTTGGTCTTTCAATGGACGTACAATTTTTCCATCGGAAAAAATTCAAGTATTCAATTTATTCAAAATTTTGATGAAACAAGAAGAGAGCATGACAATAGTTATAATGTGATATACATAAGCATTCTAATACTTTAAAATATTATATCCTAATACGAAGAAAAGAGTAATTTTATTTTTTTATTCAAATTTCATAAATTCAGTATTTTTATTTATTAATAAATTTATATGTTTCATTTGCAGAAATTGTAATTTATCCGAAATTCCTATCGAATGTTCAACTTTTGGCATAATTTTTAAGCTCATATTTTGTATTAAAATTTAATCTATTCCACATGTAACTCTTTTTTATACCCAATAATTTATTTTATTTAAATTTAGATTTTAAATAATGGTACTTCGTTGATATTGCAAGAAATACAAATAAATCAGGAAGGAAGATATTCGTGCACTGCAACAAATAAAGTTGGAAGAGCTGAAGCTGATACATTCTTGCAAATAATGGGTTAGTAAAAATTACTACTTACTCCAAAAATGTGTTGTTGCTTGCACATTTATTCCTGCAAACTAATTTTAAGAATTATTCCATTAAATTTTGCTAGTTAATTTAAAAATTTGATTAAATTATTTTAATTCAAAGTTATTTTATAGTATATGACTGAATATAAGATTCTATAAATTGCAGCACCACCAAAAATTTTAACATCTATCAGTGGATTGAAAGCAATCCAAGGACAAGGACAAACAATTCATTGTGAAGTGAGTGGTAAGCCAACGCCAAAAGTGGAATGGCTCAAAAATGGACAACGATTTAATGCTACAATGGCTCAATCATCCAGTAATTTGCATTACATACATTTCAGGTATCTTTTTCAAATTCAAAAATTTCAAGTGAATAAATAAGAAAGGAACTTAAATATTAATATTACTTTACAATTAATTAAATTAATTAACATAAATGGAAATCTGCGCGTTGCATTAATAATGCCCCAAATTACTTCAAAATTTTGCAAATTAAGTTTCTTTTTTAGATGATACTTGTTTTTCAAGAGAAAACTCACTGCGATTAAGAGTTGTATTAAATTAATCACAGTGAATGCCTTTAATTCCTTTGTGAGTTTCAAATTTAAGAGGGATAATTAATTTAAAACAATAAAAACAAAAAAGCATTTAGGGAAGTGCAAGTCGGTGATGCAGGACGATATACATGCATAGCGAGGAATCGAGCTGGTGAACATCGCATAACAACGCAACTTTATGTACTTGGTAAGTGGTGTTTGAAACGATTGGAATTGTCCTCAAAAATGATACACACTGATATGATATGTTGCGCGAGGAAAGATATTATTATTGACTTTTATACTTCATAAAGATATAACAAAATCTATTGAAGTAAACGATAAAGTTATTGTGAAGGAGATTTATCCTTTCTTCTTTTGCATTTTGAAACTTAAGGAACTACCAAAAGGGATGGATGAAGAAAAGTTTTTTAAGTGTCACTTAGGATACTTCATATTGTTTCGTTTTTAGATTATCATTTTGCTATGGAAAATTTGAATAAACCATTGTGAACATTATTTTGTCTATGATAGAATATGAAATTTTTTTAGTGCCGCCAATGATTCTGGAAGGTGAACGTGTTGTCCAGGTGAAAGAAAATGCTACAGTAACATTAGAATGTGTTGCAAATGGAAATCCGAAACCGATGATTGTGTGGAAGCGTGATGGACGGCTTTTGGATGCACGTGGCCCACGTTTTGTGATTACATCATCGAAAGCTTCTAACGCTGGCAGGTGATATTTTCAGTATTTTAGGCAAAAATATGAGTAAATTAGAGTGCAGCTATGCACCTTAAATAAACAGACTACACTTTCACTCTCAGATTTGTATTTGCAAACAAGGAATAGTTTCTGTTATTTTAGTATTTTAGTATTTTGTTTTGAGGCGCCTCGGGAAATATATTTGTATGAAATATTCGACATAAAATGTTTTAATGGTGTCTTATTTTCTTGTAAAATTATTGGAAGAAAGCTTAAAATAAAAACTTTTAATCATATACCATTAGGATTATAAAAATTTTTAGATAAACATGTGAATTTTAGATACACGTGTGAAGCACGTAATGAAGCTGGCAAGGTATCAATTGATTTTGAAGTTGATATTTTTATTAAGCCACGTTTCCGAGATCTTAAAACGGAAATTCGAGTTCGTGATGGTGAACGAGCACGTCTTGAATGTAAAGTTGATGGACATCCTGAACCAATCATCACGTAGAGTTTTTTTGTTTTTTTAACTGAAATAAATTATCGGTTAATATTTCAATTATTCATTTATAAAAGATATATTTCATACAGTATTTATAAAAGATATTTCAGCCTTAGGATTAAAAAGAAAAAAATCTTAAGTACTGTAATTTTAGATGGATGCGTGGCGGTCGTCCAATTGAAGATATGAAGAATATTATATTCAGTCCACGTGGTGAAACAATGATGATTCTTAAATCACACAGGTTTGATAATTACAATCTATTTTGTATTTAGAAAGTTTTGACCATACTATAAGCTAAGAAAAAGAAAGAGAGTGTGTGAGTAAAGATGGAGAAAATGATATTCTCAAGAATTATTTAATATTTTTAACTTAAAAATTTCATATCTATTCTTTTATTTTTATAGGGCAGATTCTGGAAGTTATTCATGTGTGGCGAAAAATTTTGCCGGAGAAGCAGAAGCCAGTTTTACGGTTATTGTACTGATAGCTCCACATATCGATGAACAAATCGATCAAAATCTACGTATTGTTCAAGGCAATAAAGTTATCATGCATTGTCCGGTGCAGGGCAATCCAAAACCAAAGGTTACTGAAATAATTGTAAATTCACAATGCTGGCAAATATTTTTAAATATTATTTAACTTTTTTTTTTCAGATAAAATGGTTATATAATGGGAAATCAATTAAGAATGATCGTGCAAAGATTGTTAGAGAAATTGATTTAATCATTCAACAATCGAAAGTATTAAGTTGAAGTTTTTAATTTACATTGAAAGAAGATTAGTTGTGTTAATAAAATGGTATAGAATCAGAATGATTAATGAAATTATTAGAGAACAAAAATATTTTATTACTTTTATTTGTAAATTATAGCTTAGATTTAAACTTGTTACAATTTCATGATAGCTATCATAAATTTTCAGCAACATGATAATGGACGTTATACATGTTTCGCAGAAAATGAAGCTGGAATATTGAATACAAATTATGAGCTTGAAATTATCGGTAATTTCGATTTTTGCAGTTTTTTTATGATTGGCTTTTTAACATTAAAAATTTATGAATTGTTGAATTATGTGATTTTATTATTTCATACTAAACATATTGGAAATTAATTTTATCATTATTGAATGGAAGTATTTAAAAATTTGCTGAAAATTTTCACTATAACTGTAGTGAAAATTACAGAGGGAAGTATTATTTAATTTCTAAAATTATAATTGCAAATTTGTGATAAAAACTCAAATTATTAGGTCCACCGAAATTTCATCATCGTGGTGAGGCTGTGTATGAGATGATAGTTGGTAAAACGGTAACTATGGATTGCGATGTTGAGGCTGAACCGAAACCGGAAATTCATTGGTTCCGCAGTGATTCACCTCTATATCCTACTGAAAACATTCGCATTTCACCGGATGGACAGGTCAGTTATTTTATTATTTTAATATAAGATAGGTACCGGTTTACATGGTTTTCATGTTTTTTATCGGAGTTTGTTTTATTATTATTAATCTTTTTCGTATCAAAATCTTTAATTTTAATTGATATCATACTCAAGCTTTTGATATGTCTGTTGATTATTGACGGGTTTTGGAGTGGATATGGGGCTTTATATTTTGTTTGTTATATGTGTGAGGTTCTTAAATAAAAATCCGCCTCCAATAAAAATCAATAATAAAAGTTCGTAATTAAGTATGTTTAAAAATAAATAATGACGAGAATATTTTAAAATATGGCTATTTATCATCAAAAATAAGCTAGTCGGAATAAAGACGACTATACTAAGTGCAATCGTCCGGTTTTACCATAGTAATTATAATTTTCTTTATCACAGTATTTATAAGTATTTATAATATTTATAATTTTTCTTTGAAGTATGATTATTTTTAAAAAATTTTTACATTTTATAGCAAATAACGATCCGTGGTGTGAAAATAAGCGATGGTGGCAAATATACTTGTAAAGCAGAAAATGAAGCAGGTTCAGCAGATATTGACTTGACACTGAAAGTTTTAGTACCACCCAGTATTGATACTTCAAATATCATCGGCAATCCATTAGCCGTTGTGGGAAAGTACGTATTAAAAGATGGATCATTTCAAATTTTTTAATTATGTTTGCAAAAAATTTCAGCAAAAAATAAAAACGGGCAGAGATGAGTTAAATTATCTCTTGCAATTTTAGGCTATATCTTAAATTCTAATATTATATTCTCTTTTCTGATCTTTTGTTTTTGTTGAATATCTCATCGATTCTTAGATTCTGAAGATGAGTGTGAAAAAGATACATTTTACGTTTTGCATTAGACTTAAAACGTATCTCTTTTTCATACGTTAATATTGATAGCAGTGGTAATTATAATAGATTTTTATCAACGTAGCAATCAATTATAATGATTTTATTAATACATTTTTTATAAAATTTATTTATGTTTTTCAGGGAATTCTATAATTCTTACAATCAATTTTGCATTTATAATTATTCTTTCAACTATAAGTTTATTAAGAATTTTATTTTAATAGACAGCTCTGTAATTTTTTACTTCATAATATCATTCCTTTAGCTTCATAATATCATGATTCCATTAACTATAAGTTTATTAAGAATTTCATTTTAACAGACAGCTCTGTAATTTTTTACTTCATAACATCATTTTTTTTAGCTTTTCCTTTCAATTATTCTCTCATTTGCATTAATAGTGAAATAGTAAAATTTCCCAAATCTATCAGAATCAATTTAATTGTACTTTAAATTCATATAATTCTTATGAGTAATTGTTTTTTGCACCTTTTCGTCTCAAAACTTTTGAATAATTTAAAAGATTACAAAAATTCTGTACCAATTTATTAAAAATGCAAATTAGCAAAGATTTTGTCCATTTTCAAAATGATGGAAATTTTTAATAAAATATTTTGCAGATCAATTTACTTAGAATGTCCAGTTTCTGGCATTCCACATCCATCAGTGATATGGTATAAAGATCGTGTACCAATATCAACTAATAATGATCGTTTTGTTATTGAGCAGGTTTAGTTGTATTAAATTATTAACCGTTTATATGTCTCAATTTGCTAACTAATTATGATTATTTAAAATTGTCGAACAGTGCGATGGATCAGTTTGACAAATAGTCCAAATTTTTTAAATTAAAATATATCATTGAAAATTTGTGAGTCATTTGAATTTGTCTTCACAAAAAATTGTAACAAATGATGTTTTGTAGAATAATCAAACATTTGGCATCAAAGAAGTAAAAGTAAGCGACAAAGGACAGTTTGTATGTGTGGTTGAAAATAAAGGAGGCCGAGTGGAACAGAGTTTTAATTTGGAAGTTTTAGGTTATATTTTCTTGCTTTTTCTTTTCTATAACAGTAAGATAATTAATTCAATATTCTTCCTTGAATTTCTATTAAATTTTTAAATTGCAGTACCACCACAACTTGAAACGATGGAACCACAGAAATATACGAAACGAGAAAAAGATACCATTACGTTGTACTGTCCGGTAAAACATGACGAAGATTCAACAACTCCTACTGAAATTTTGTGGTACAAAGATGGCCGTCCAATTGATGGACTTGCAGTACCAAATATTAAAGTTAGTCAAGTCGTTGTTATTTTCCATTAGTTATATTTTCAAGTTTCCCAACTGATGTTCAAATTTGTCACTTTTTCAAAGCGAGAGTTTGTTAGAGGTTTGATTGGATATGATATTATTGAAGATATTCAATTTATTTCAAAAGAAAAAGAAGATTTAAAATAAATTGATTGATGCAAAACAAGATAATCTATGATGAGAAATTAATTAATCGATTTTGTAAGTCTGCTTTGAGAGTTTTTCTATTTGGTATATATTATCGGAATGGCAAATTACATTGAATAATCGCCCCTGTATTTCTTATATTTAAAAAGAAATTTACAGTCATAGAATTTCATCAAACCCTTAATTACTCATAAACTTCAAATTCTCCATCTAAAATTTACTTTTCAAAACTAAAATATCTATTATTTTTATTGTTATTGCAATCTTTGCAATTTCAGATTACAGCTGACAGTCAACGTTTGCATATCATTCGTATGTCACTTTCTGATGCTGGCAATTATTCATGCGTTGCGTTGAATCGTGCAGGAGAATCATCACTTGATTTCTACGTGGAGATACTTTGTACGTATCTGATCTTTGAGCATTATCGGAAGCTGAAAGCTAAACATCTTAAAGGCATAAAAGTAGATCACACTGACCTTATGGAGAAAAATATCATGAACAAAATATTTATATGCGCTACTAATTCAGTGAAAATAATAGCACTACAGACAGACTGACTGATTTTTCAAATTGGAAAAACCTATAGGATATGATATAGCTCGGTAGATTGATACAGGTAGGATCCTAAACGTATTAGGATCACTTTTATGATATAGTGATTTATAAACTAAGATGTACTACTCGCATTATAATAATCGACATTAATATTAGGGATTTGTATCATCTGAACAGATGAATAAAAGGAAGATAGCGATAACGATTAGAATGGAAAAATTCATCAGATAGGGCTATTGGAAACAGTTTTTGTTCTAGTTACATTAACGGTCACAGTTTCAGTTCACCGACGCGTTTCACCATTGACAGATAATGAAATATTATAAAATGATTAGTATGGGAGAATTTAAGCATTCCGAGCGGAGTTTTTTTCTGCAGCTAATAATGATCAGTGGTTATTAAATGGCGATTACGATTGTGAACGTACCGTACAGGAGGACAACGCTGCCCTCACAATTAACACTATAATTCCATTAAGAAGGAGTCATTATATTGCTTCGGCTGGTAGAAAAGAATATTTAGTACAATATGAATTCAACATCTGCTAAAAAGTGCACATTTCTTCAATCAGATCCAGTCTGAAATGAAATGATTGTTAACGAAGCGCATGTGTACATACAAATATAACTCATTCCATTACAGTTTGAAATAATAATAACAGTTTTTAAAATATTAATTAATGATAAAAGAAAATAATGAACAATAACCATCTGTGCATTAATAAACTGTACTAAAAATTTCATTGGACTTTTTCTTACCAATAAATTAAGTGTATCATTATAATAAGAAGCTAACGATAATCATGGATAATCCATCCTAACTTCATTGAATCTAACAATCATCCATGTAAATGTTTCTTTTATTCTTTTGAAATTTCATTAATTCACATTTTCACCGTTTTCTGCTTACTAAAATTGCTAAAAAAAGTTTTTTGATCAGTCTTAATTTGCTGTTGTGTCAAAATAATTGAATCTTTAACAGAATAGTTGAGCAATTTTCGCCGAAGATTCTCTACTACGTTATTCCTTCTGAATGGATCTCTACTATGTTATTCCTTCTGAATGAACAGTGACCGATCCTTACATAAATTTTTTCAGATTCAAATAACTTTAATTTTTATCTTCTACCTACATGCTTAGTGTTGAGTTTATTTGTGATTGCTGAAGAGAATAATTTTCGTGTGCTGAGAAAATTAACAGAAAATGTGAAATTTACTAATAGCATATTGCTTGATGTAAAATGAATTTGGATACAGTTAGCGAAATTTCTTCTTTATTTCAAATTAATTGAGATGTGAATGAATGAATGAATGAATGAATGGAAGTAAGTCGTAATAATGATGATGAAAAGGAAACAATGGAAAGACTGGCATTAAAGATAAGCTAATTTTAAGTTATCTCAAATTATGGTGCGACACTGATCCAACAGTTTATCCTTACAATCCATTAAATTCTTAAAATGCCGAAAGTACCATAGATCGAAACTTTTAAAAAAATCGAGCTCAAAAATTTTATCACTGCATTCTTTATCACTAATAATTATCATCATCAATCAAGATTATTAAAACGATCGTTTAAAGATACATAAAATAAGGTGCTTGATATGAAATGAGTAAACGATATAAATAAAATAATTGAGTAATTAATTTGCTAAAGTTTCTTGTCTGAGTTATGGAAGTATGAAAGTTGGAAAAGAGTGCTTTTAACTTACAATCTATTACATGTAAATTCAAATTTGATAAAATAACTTTACTATTAAACACCGGACATTAAATTCCTGAAGTTTAACTATTGTCTATATTATGGATTATTATCTAATTTGATTATTATTAATAGGAAATTCTTAAAATTGCAGCAGCACCTCAATTGGATTGTAGTCGAAATGAGCAACGACCGCATGTTATTGCTGGACGTCCTATTACCCTCTGGTGTATGGTTTCCGGATATCCATTACCGACAATTCAATGGATGAAAGATGGTTACCGTGTGCCAATCAATGAGAAGAGTGCTATACGACTTGTCGAAAATGGACAGGGTTTTGAAATTTAATTAATTTCGATTACAAAAACTATTTCAAACAAATAAAATAAAAATAAAAAAATTCACTTAAATTAAGACAGAAATTTCAAATGAAATGAAAATTAAATCCATTCGAATTATGATGGAAATATTGAAAAATGAATTTATGTTTATTTAAAAAATTGATATTAAATTTTAGGACTGGAAATTTTGGAAGCGAAGCCTGAACATGCCGGTATTTGGATGTGTGAAGCATCAAATGCAGCTGGTAAAACAGATTACGAATTAACGTTGGATGTTTGGAGTGAACTTTTTGCATTCTTATTTTTTTCTTGGCAGATCATAGAATCAGTCATTTTTATTAAATAACTCAAATGAGAAATTATTAACTGAACAAATATAAAATTAAATATTTTGATTTTATACTATCGATTCGATATTTTCAGCACTTCCAATCGTATCCATCAATGCAGATGATAATATTCGATCAATCGATAGTACTACCATGATGCAATGTCAAGCTACCGGTAATCCAGAACCATCATTATCATGGAGTAAAGATGGTCAGCCACTTATCACTTCTGCAAATGGTCAGCATACTTTTCTTTTTCAAATATTTTTATTTTTAATATCATTAATGGTTGAAAGAGAATTAATTTAATAGTTCATATAAATTTAAATTCCAGTGAAATATAAATAGAATATATTTTGAAGTGAAAGGAAAAAAAAATAAGCAAATGATAATTAGTTAGAAATATGAAATTAATAAATCAAGAAGGTACATAGATAGATAGAAGGAAATTGAAATATAAACACATATTCACATCAAATTTAAAAGAAATATCAGTTAACAAAATAGTTTTCGTTTTTACGTCAACTAAAACTTAAATATATTGGCCTATGTTTGGCCTAAATTTAAGCTTAGCTTTAAAATTTTTCATTTTAGATGTAAGAATTTCATTGAAAGGAACAAGACTAGATATTCCTCACTTGAAACAATCACATGCGGGTGAATATGCATGTATCGCGATGAATGAAGTTGGTACATCCTCTGCTACTGCACATATCGATGTTTTAGGTAATGTATTGATGCAAAAATTTCTTACCTGTAAAATTTCAGCTCTTAACAAAAGCACAAATTTCCTGTAATTACAAGTATCATTTACAGTACCGCCGGTAATTAATCGTGATAACATTGAGATGAGTCCACGACTACCAACTGCTCAAACATTAACATTAATTTGTGATGCAACCGGTAAACCGTTACCTCAAATATTTTGGTCAGTTTTTTTAATTGTTCTCATATTTTATTACTATACTCAATCTATCATTTTAATATATTTAATTTCTTTCTTAAAAATAAGACAAAATAAATTTTACCGTTTCTTTTTCCTTCGAGAATTTTTGAATGAATTATTATTAAGCTCAAAACAATGCTAATTATAATATATTGCTATTGTTTTATAGGTATGTAAATGATACTTTAATACGTGAAACGACGTCAAATGTGATCATTGGTGAAAATAATCGTTATCTTCAGGTATTCTTTTTAATTAACAGATATTCAAAAAAAGATGATTCAAAAATTTTTTTTAAAAATTCATTTTCTTTGTTTATAATTTTCAGTTCCATTAGAACTATTACAAAGAAAAAACATTCATAGGAGAGGGATTTCATTTTTTGAGAGAGATTTTATCTTATTAATATTTAAAGGTAAACGATGTTACATTGAACGATCATGGAGAATACAAATGTGTCGCATCAAATATTGCTGGCAAAGATGAGCTTTTATATACAGTTACTATAGTTCGTAAGTCTTTTTGAACATACATTTAATTTTAAAATTTTAAATGGATTACTTATTTTCTTTTTTTTAATTCAAAAGCGTCATTTATAATTTCTCAAATAGTATCTGTTATGAATCATTCATATCTTTATTACTGAAACATTTAGATGATTATCTTCAGAAGCTCCGAAGATATTGAACGGTGGTAATTATCAAGTTATTGAGGGTGAAGAAGCCGGAATTGTATGTAATGTCACTGGTGAACCCTCACCGGTAGTTACATGGCAACGAAATGGAATTAATATTGAAAGTGGAACGAGATATATTATTGAAGATAAGGTTAACTTCATCTTTTTTTTTTGAAATTAGTGATGCAGAAAAAAACAGCTCAAATATATTTCCTTTTCTTTCCGAAGATTCGAAAAGAAGAGGAAATGTATTGATTTTAGAATATGTCGAAAATTCTAAAAAATTTAGTGCTGTAGAAATTTTGTAAAAATTTTACGAAATCAAAATACATTTATTTTATTTAGACACTCCGAATAATGGATGCTCGAAGTTCTGATTCGGGTTTGTACATTTGTTTGGCAACGAATGAAGCTGGAACAACTCAACAGGCGTTTACACTTGAAGCTTTTGGTAGAATGTTTTCGATATTTAATTTTTTAATTCCGAATAGTTTTGATTTTGCAAAACCCGAATCTATCAAAAATTACAGTTGTTCCTCGTATCATTGCAACATCACCGAAAGAATCGTTGATACCTGCTGGCAAACCATTTAGTCTGAAATGCGGTGTGCGAGGTTCTCCGCCACCAGATATTATATGGTCATTGAATGGAGAAATGCTTGACAAAGGCAAGATAGGTTACTCTATTGGTAAGTGTCAACTATTACAAATCTTTTAACATTCCTAAGGTTTTATTCAATCTGCTTTTTGTTATTAATGATAATAGCGACAAATTAGACTCATTTTAATTTAAGCCTAAATATAGGTTAAATTTTGATGGAAATATTAAACTATTAGTATTATATTATATCTAAGAAAGCTTACAATTATCTCTTAGATCTTAGAATGAATCCATATGTATTTAGTACCTCCGTAACATTACCTCCCTCTTTCTATCATTAATGATTCGCAAATATATCCGTGAGTGTCAAACAATAATCTAAATGTGTGTTCAGCGGAGGATGGTACTTTGTTTGTTGAAAAAGCGCTGAAAGAAGCAACACTGACTTTTAAATGTATAGCAAAGAATGATGCTGGCTCAGATAGCAATGAATATATCGTCAAAGTGATAAGTAAGTAATTTTTTAAACTTAATGTTTGCAATTTTATCGCAATGCTTATATGAAATAACAGAAATAACAGTACCTGTTTAAATAATTTATAATTATTTCAGAGTATTTTTTAAATCGTAGTAGCGCTTTTTTTTGATTTCATTAATTCATTCAATAATATTATCAATGATTTAATGATTTAGATCCACCAGTTGTGATAAAAGAAAGTATTAAAACAATTAATGCAACAGAGGGTGATCCATCATTAATGATTTGTGAAATTGAGGGAGAAATTTCACAAATTTATTGGTATAAGGTATGGCTCTTAAATTTTACCAATTTACACTCAACGGTGAGTATTAAAAATGAAAGCTCTAATAGTTCTGCTTTTTTAATTTTTATTAAAAATGTTTCTAATGTATTATTAAGGAGCAAAAAAAGCAATATAAATATCATATCGATAAGATATTATTATTATTATTTGATTCATAGCCTTATCAAAATGCCTTAAACATTAAATTAATAGGCTGAATTGTTTTTATGCAAACTGTAAAGGAAAAATTTTAGGACGATGAACCGCTGATATTAACGCCAAACATAGAATTAAGTTCGGATCGAACACAACTTAAAATGCATCATTCCAAGCTACATGATGAAGGTATGTACAGTTGTGTTGCTGTTAATCCGGCCGGTAATGCTACACAGAAACAACAACTTTATGTTGGCGGTTAGTTATCATGAATTTTTATTTAACTTTAATTATCAAAATTTGTTTGTTCATTTTTATAAATTGCAAAAATATTATGTTTGCAAGCATTCCGATGAATGCATTCTTATCACAGTTTATAAGTAACAATTAATTTTGCTTGTTAAACTATAACTAATTTTACTGCAAGCTAGAACTAACTTTTTCTAAACTAAAAAAATGACATATTTCGGCAAAAGATAATCTATCTTAAAAAAATTGAAATTTGAAAATATTATAAAATGATGGTTAATTTAGTTCCACCACGAATAACTGAAAAACCGCGGCGAATTATAGTAAAAAGCGGTCAATTAGCTGAATTATGGTGTGAAGCAGTTGGTATACCAAAACCGCATATCACATGGTTGAAAGATGATAAAGCGTTATCACAAAGTCTGTTAATTCATTATCATTATATTACCTATTTATCAGATTCGTTACTATCAATTACTACTTTAAGTTTATTATCAGTCAGTGTGAAAATGTTTGATTAAAATTGACATTATAGCAGCATTGGATGACCAAACAGATGCGCAAAAATCTACTGCTTTCTTTCCAAATGTATCAAGTGAGAATGGTGGAGTTTATACATGTAAAGCAGAGAATTGGGCTGGTATCAGTTATAAGGATGTCTCTTTAATCGTTCTAAGTTTGTGATCTTTATGAATTATTCTTTTAAAATCTTCTGCTATTATTATAAATTAGATGTCATTATTGATTTTACTTGATATTACAGTTCCACCGTCAATTCATCCTGAACGATTAAATGTGACTGCAAAAATTGATGAAACTGTAATCTTGACGTGTAATACAACGGGAGTACCAGAACCTGTTGTATCATGGATGAAAATGCCAAATGTTGACATTATTGGAAATGAAATGAGTATGATTATCATCAATTTTCTATCTGAAAAGTATTTAAATTTCTAAATTCGCTTAAATTTTTTTAATGTTCTCAATCAATAATTTCGAAAATTATGAAGTATACAGAAAGAAATAAAAAATTTCAGAATATCAAATTTACGGAACAGCATTACATATTAAAAACGTATTACCACAAGATGATGGTTTTTATCACTGCGTTGCAAAAAGTAATGCTGGTCAAGCAATTGGATCAAGGCGACTTACCGTTATTGGTTCATTTAAATTTTATAAAATTTTATTCAACAATCTTTCTTTTATTTTGATTTACAAATTAAAATTTAGTTTTCGTGATACATTAATTTTGCTAAAAAAATAAAAACTGAAATCAACAACGAAACATAATTTTGAATCTGTATAGAATGTTAAAAAGTATTTGATAAAATATTCTTTCAGATCGCCAACTTTTAACTAACTGAACTATAAAAATTTTCACTTCAATTTTTCAGATCCAAAGAAAGGTTATAAAGTGATTTGGGTAGAATGCGATGAATTTGGACAGCCAATTAAGACGACATATGTGCCAGCACGTGGTGACATTCCCGAAGATGGTAATAATTTGTTACCATGGAAGCAAGATCTACAGGTATCATCCTGTGCGCTAATTTATGCAAACTATATCACTAAAATGATAAAAATAATTGCAGAGAACTGTGTTGGTAATTATTAAACTGTATGCTTGAATAGTTTTGAAATTCAAGCAAAAATTTTGAGAAAATTTTATGACCGAATTATATTGATATCTTAAAACAAAATTTTTTTCAATTTTCCAATAATTTTCAGGATCTTCCACAAAATGGTACTAATGGAATATTGATACATTGTTTACCTGAATCACGTGGACCACGTCGTGCTCCACTAGCTATGCCCAGATTCATACGATCACCACGAACACAAAAAGTTTCACCAGGAGCTGTTGCTAATCTTCATTGCAGGTTATTTCTATACTCTACGAATAGAAAATTTAAGAGTTAAAAATAAATAATGAAATAACAATATTTTTTCAAAAATTATTGATTGGATTAGTACAAACATTCGTTCTTTTGATTTAAGACTAGTTCGAAAATTTACTTTAATGCCAAATAAACTAAAGAAAGAATTCATAAAATGATGATGGAAATTTGCAGAGATATCATGATAATAAATATTTTCAGTGCTATTGGTCAACCTAAGCCACATATTATTTGGATTCGTAATGGAGCATTTTTAGCAGGTATATCGCAATTATCCGTTGGTCATTCGATATTGAGAGTGAAAGTTGAAAGTGATGATGATTTGGGTGATTATATTTGTTTGGCGCAGAATGCTGTTGGTTCTGTTACTAGTATTGCTACCTTATTACTTGATCAAACTACAGAAAAGGTATGCAAATTCATCGTAATAGTCAGTTTATAAAACTTTTCATGGAAAATTTATTTTAGGCATTTATTTGTATTGTATCAAGTTTAGAATAAATAGAAACAAAATCATTTCATGCAATCGCGAGAACTAATTAACACATTATTATGCAATAATATTTCTAATCGATTTTTACGCAATTAGAAGTGCATAAATAATACATATTCTAAACTTGATACATTTTGAGGAGTTAATTGAACAATTAATTTAAATTTAAATCAAAATTTAAGGTTCAAAAACGCACAATTGCAATGTTAAATTGTGTATTCGACAATAGTGTTCCAAAAAAAAATGTGGTTTGGAAATTTTTCAACATACAATTGAACAGCAATTCCATTGGAAGAGCAAATCTTCTGCGTAACGGATCTCTAGTTGTTTACGATGTCACCGAAAGTAATTTGGTAATTAATTTTGAATCTATTTTCTACTGATGGATTTGAAAAACTAACTGACCGGATTTACAAAAATATAAGCAACGTTTTACAGCCTTTCAAATTTAACTTCTATTAAATGAAGTTGTTGAATTTACTTCGCAAGACCTATTAAATTTTAAATCGATTTTGCAAACCGATAAAGTGAATTGTTAGGGGATAAAATATGCTAGTGATCTAAATCAATTTTTTGCATCATGCAAACAAGGCAATATTTCAAGTCTTCAAATTATGCGAGATATTTTGATCACTATGGAATCTTCTAAAAAGATGAATTATTAAACATTGTTTTTAGACAGATTTACTTGGCTATCAGTGCTATACGACAAATCGGAAACAAACAACTGAAATAAATTTCTTGAAAATACAAGACGACGTACCACGTGTTCAGGTCTCACCAAAACAAGTCTTTGTCAACTTGGATGAATCATTGATTCTGAATTGTAAATTGATGTCCAATCCGTTAACAGCAATTGTTCAATGGACCAAAAATGATGTAAAATTGAATGATAGCAGCAGAACAAGAATGCTTGTATCTTTTTTAATACATTCTTGAAATATTCAAATTAAATGAAAGGCGATATACTAAAAGATAACTTTTCAATAAAGTAAGTTACCATTTAGTCTACCGACTTTCATATGATCAGAAGTAACCGAAAGTAATGTTATAGTAAAATAAAATTGGAGGAAATATGTTTTAAATTTTACTTTAACTTATTGCTTACATTAAATAAGAAATTTTAGGCTAATAATTCTCTCCACATTATGAAATTGTTATCTTCTGATCGTGCTGTATTCAAATGTATTGCATCAAATCGATATGGAAAATCATATGATGACGTAAAGGTGATTGTTAGAAGTAAGTTATTTTGATTGATACCTTTTTTGGATACGATTATTAATTTACTTCTATTTATGCATATCACTTTACTGACGATGTACTGCTGTTTAGAAAGGCAAAATATATTTTTTTTTAATGCTTTAAAGTACTTTATTTTGAAGTACACATCAACCACTATCACTTATTCAAATCAGTTTATTGAAGCTCTTCAAATCTTCTACTTGTTACGTTCATTGATTCTTTTTTAAATTGTAGTTTTCTTTAGCAGGTTTAGCCGGTGTGGTTAACAAAGTTAAAGGAATCGTAAATAATCGAAGACTGAAACGTGAAACAGTACTTATTAGTGTAAAACCTAAAATGGAAGCTAATTTGATTGCAATGAATAATATATTTGGGAAGCAAGGTTTGGTTTATGATATAGTGAGCCAATATAACGAAATATTTTTATGTGTAACAGTTTTTTAGTTCTGCTAAATATGCGTATTTTGGTAATTAAATTTTTTCTGTGTAACTTTTTGACATTTAACCGATAAGTTAAAAAATGTCGAATAATTATAATCCTTTTATAAAAGATGTGTGAAAACAAAAAGTTGATATAAGAAAATTCATTTGATCAAAGAAGTAAACAAAAAATTTAACAATGATCATCGTAATGTAACATGTATAAGGTGGACCATCGTGATATAACATATATAAAGAAGTTTTGTAATAATTAAAAGTGTTGAAGTTGTGATTTCGAAATTAAATCTAGGTGCTATAGCTGAAACACTACTTGGCTATATGACGGTAGCTTTGCCACAGTTAGCTTTCAATCCCAATCAGGAAAATTCACTTGCAAGTGTGCAATTTTATCGTGTGGTTGATTATCGTTTTGAAAGCGGTGAAATGATGCGCGTTTACCAAAAAGGATTTGGCCTAGACGGTGAATATGCGCAATTTGAAATGATCTTCAATGGACGAGTGCCACAATTTAACGATGAGGTAAATATGTTGGATTGTAGAAATGTGGGAAAATATCGAATTTTTATAAGCTTTTGTTATATTCACTTTACAACACCAAATGCTTACTTCATAAATGATAGGAATTAAATTTCTAAAATAGGTCAGGGGAAGACTATGATATTATCATGCACTTGTTAAGTTCCTATTTATTGTTACTAACAAAATATTTTAGTAGGTCAATAAAAATCAATACTTAATGCTATTGTACATTTTTGCGCTAGATAATTTTCTAGCTTCATTTGTTTAATTTAAATTTAGATTTACTCTTGGATAGATCAAGCTACAGAGGAAATGGTAGAACAGGAGCCAGGTATGATACGTGGCAATGGATTTGCAATTCTACGTGTTGCAAATCAAACAAGCATACCATTCTAGTGAGTTTAGTCTCTCATGTTACTATTTATATGGTTACGTTGAGATTGTCTATATAAATTGGAGAAAGATAGTTTAAGGATATTATGAAACTGAAGTTATATATATAAAGTATTGAAATCTAAAAATCAAATGGAAAATAGAGTAGGAAGGAGGAGAAGATGCGGAAATGATATTAAGAGAAAAGAGAATGATTTACTTAATTTTGAGATTGTAATACGTTTCCATAATTTGAATTCTCATTATCTTGCTAAGCTGGAATGAGAGCATTGTTTATGATGCATCGAAAGGAATGGATATCGGTTTGGGTAGATCTGTCACATTTAAATTTGTATTCCGGAAAGCAGTATGCGATGATGGCAAATTGAACGTCATGATTAAGACTGAATCAATTCGAGGCATTTGTCCAGTTGGATATTATATTAAAGATGGCTCCTGCGTTGGTTAGTCTCAAGTTTTAAAGATTATTTTCATTTTTAAAATTTGATAAGACTCTTTGAAGGTATGGAGAAATGGCTATTTCAAATATGAGAGATAAGTGTAGTTGAATTAAGCTTACCTTACTGAAGCAATTTACCTCTTCAATCGTTTGTAATTGATAATTTTGACGTGATATCAATCAATACCAGTTCAGATATAAATGAATGTGAATCTGCTCGGGAAATATGTCACGAGCAAGCACATTGTGTCAATACCATTGGAGACTATTTATGTGAGCGCAATTGTCCACCAGGTTTTAAAGCAGGCCCACAAGGTGATTGTGAAGACATTGATGAATGCACCCTTGGCATGCATAATTGTACAAGCGGTGTCCTATGCATAAATAGACCAGGTATGTCCTAAATTTCAAAATATAACCTGTTCAGTGTTTAACAATAAATGAACGAGAATAAAACAGAGGTATGGGTAAATAGCTGCTCTTAGGTGTGTAGATGAAAATGTTGCAGGTACCTTCTTATGTGAAACGTCATTATGTGCTGAAGGTTATACCCGAGATTCCAATGGTCGTTGCAAAGGTATCCATCATGAATAACCAAATTTTTGGAGTAACCGCTAACTCTAAATATACGAAGACTGATAGAATCAAATGAAACATACAGCTTGCAATAATGAAGTTTTTTAGAGTGCATAACACATGGCTGTTACCGTAACGTTGTCGTAATTTATTTTTACGGCATTATTGAGAAATATTTTTAAGTTTCGAAAATGTTTGAGACAATCTTGTCTTTCTAAAGATTGTGTTAGTTAATTTAAGAGATGATGGAAATTGCAAATCTTTGTCATAGACATCTTGGTCCATATTTGAAATTATGAATTGCTATTAGAAGTTTATTGGCCGAGTAATTTATTCTCAAATTGATAAAAATTAATTATTGCAAATGACGCTTTTCAGTACCATTAATGACCAAGTGAATTTTTAGATGTGGACGAATGCACAAAATCGGTATGCGGTAATTTGAAATGTTTGAATCACCTAGGCTCATATAGTTGCATTTGTCCAACAGGCTTCCCAACTGATAATAATGGCCATTGTGAAGGTGTGTTACAAATTATTTTCTTTTCATCATTTTAGCTTCTTTTATTACAGATTTTCTGATACTTGATATTTGTATTTCAGACTCCCAAGGAAATTTAACTGATTTAAAATTAATTAGATTTGATGAAAATTGGAGCATGTGTAAACCAGGTTACCATCGTATCGCTGGAACATGTCAAGGTATTAATTTTTATTTGATAAAAAGAATAGATTTTTGCATTGGCACTAATGATATAAATTCGATCTCTGTTTATTTGATGGAATATGCAAAAAATCTTTCAGTTAAAGTAAAAATAATTTTCAATCATCAAATTTTTATATATTTTTTTGCATTGGATACTGTATCATTTCGAAATAGTTTATATTTCTACTTTTATCACTTTCAATTGTTTGCAAATAGTAGCCAAATAATAAAATATCCATTAGAAGCGATTGCTTGCTTCGACAATATTTCATATTTTGCAATTTTTTAAGATATTGACGAATGTGTATTCAATTTTCCATGCAAATACAAATGTGAAAATACTGAAGGCAGTTATAAATGCTTGTGTCCAGAGGGCTACAGAGTTGAACAAAATAATTGTATCGGTAAATTCATTCATAAAACTTAAATTTTTTCAGTAATATAGTAATAATCGTTACTATTTTAGTGTTATCTTTGGCTTAACTTCTAATAATCACTATTGCAATTGATTGAAATCTAGTTTAAATTTGTTTAAGAATTAATTTAATTTTGTCCTTCTCAATAAGTTTAACAAAAGTTTAAATTCTTTTTTCTTGCCACTCATATAATTCCCTTTTTGATAATGTAAAATTCTCTGATTTTAAAATTAAATGAAAATAGTTTCTGTCTGCTTTCCACATTAACATCGTTTATACTTTGCAGATATAAATGAATGTTTATACGATCCGTGTGCCGAGAATGAATTATGTTTTAATCAGTTGGGAAGTTATGAATGCCTTACGACACCATGTCCAGCTGATTATCATTTGGAAGATCAGTGAGAACATCTTTGCTTAAGGACACAATATTCCTCTCCTTCACTTCTCAAAAAAAAATTCATATTATAACATTTTTCCATCAAATGAAGCTATTCAATTTGGATTAAAAAATGTTGCAACCAAAATATCCTTTCAGGAAATGCATGCCAAATTGTCGAAATTGCTCTAACTCACCTATTATAATATATATGATATCAGTACCAAAAAGCACACCACCTTCAACTCCCTTGCTGCGTGTGACAGCTTACGATCACCGATCGAAATTGCTTCATCAAACACAATTTGTTATAAAATCAATTTCAAAATTCACCAAACATATCCCATTTATTTTTAAAGTAAGTTCAAATTATTTTCAGTAATAGCGAAGCCATAAAGTATTTGGAGTTTGAATTAATTTGCTTCTCGACTCGTAAGTGGGCTAGTTTCTCGTAAAACTTTTCTACCACTAACAATACTGCATATTCTCAAGGATAAAGTAAACCAAGAAGATATTACTGCTTATTAACTTAGAAAAAATTTGCGAACTGACATGATAATCACTTCTTTCTTGCAATCAACTTCGTTCGAAGGCGATTTTTCTTCTTTAGCAGCTCTATCAAAACTTATCAAATTTCGATTCGATAGATTATTATCATTGATTAAATGTAGTATTTCTTTGATTCATAAATAGAAATTTTCAAACAAAGAAATTCGATGCTCAAATAATTTTTGAAACTTTTGAAATTTATTCAAATTCAGACAAAAAATGGTCGAGCAACGTTACAAAACGCAGAAGATCTACTTAGTGCAGGAACATATAAACTTGCCATACGAAGCATCTCAAAGCTACCTTACAGAACGGGCAAATTGCTAAATGATTTCATTGTTTTCATTTCTGTCTCAGAATTTGATTTTTAATTAGATGATAAGCTTCACTTATAAAAGCTAATAACTGAAACAGTGATTTCACTAAGTTTGACTAAAATAAAATTTCATTTTTCGATAGATTTTTTTTTAGTTTACTCAGCAACTATCATTACTTGTGTTTATTTAATTAAACGAGCATCAATGAATTTAACTTATCAATTATCAACTATCGTTCAAGTTTTTGAAATTGTAAATTAAATTTTTTTTTGTATGCTGCTAGCTACCAACCATATTGGATTGCTTTTGATCAAAATTAGCATTTTTTTTTCAAGTAAAGCTTCATTCCTCATTTTATTATGCTGTGATGTATTGATGAAATTCTTTTATATTCACGGTGATCGATAATAAACCGTTAGTGTAAAGAAAATCACTGTTAGAATAGTTGCAAGTCAAAATATAATTCTAACACTCTTGCAATTAATTTTAATTAATAGTCTAAATTTTTCTTTTCTTTTTATTCTGACTAATTTAAATTCGTAAGAATAATCTATTTTAAAAGAAAAAGAAAAAATTTTTTGTTGAGAAATGCCTTATGGCTGGCTGCATATTAATTCAATCATCATTAACCACCACCACACAAAAATTTCTCATTCTATTTGCCTTTAAATACCGGTAACAACAAATTTATTTTCTAATTAATTAATCAAGAAAATGCTTAGGTTATGCTTAAGTTATTGCAGATTTCCTAACTACTCTATTTGGAATATAAAAATTTGCATAAGTGAATAATCTAATTAATTTATTAATCTGCGCAATCTATTTATTGATGGGTTGAAAATATAACGAAACATATTATTGAAAATCTTTGAATGTATCAAGAAAAAATATTTTCAAATGTCTTACTTATCCTCCAATAAACTGAATTGATGCAAGATCATTCTCAGTTTTTATTAAGTCATATCATTCTGGTTTTTCTTTAATGACAGAAAGAAAACGTCAGATGTTGACAGCGAATTTAAGTTTTTTAAAATCCTTATGGTGACTGATAAAGATTTATTGCTAATCAAAATTGAGTTAGTTTCCTTTTAATTACATTTCGAATGATACAATCTATCTATCAGATAGATCTTTTTACAACAAGATCTTTATCCTTTTTGGATTACTCTTTTTCGTCGTCGCAGGATGTTTTCACGCTAAAAAGTAAAATTATATACGGAAGAAGCATTGTTTTATGTTAATTAAAAGTTTTCACTGACTTATTATCCTTTGAATTTTTCATTCTTTTTTCCTTTTAACAGAAACTTTGCTATCCTCATTTTTCACCATTCATTATTTCTTATTAACAGTTATAATTTCACCTATAAAATATTTGAATTAATAATAAGAGTATTATAGAAACTTACATATATACCCTTATTTCCGAAACATTTCTCTTTCGCAAGTTGCAAATAAATTATTGGACGTCGATGTAACGGTACATAGAATCCAGGCGGTTTGTTCACTAACGATGGTAGTTCCAGTCCATCTGGAGGAGCCTAAAAAATAATTGACATATTTGGCTAAATTTATAAGGTTTTTTTTTAAGATGGGAGTAATATCATTTCGAAAAGACAAAAATAATTCTATCCAATCTAAAATACAATTGAGAATTCTTTTGGTGTATATCATCGAAGAATGTTTAAGTGAAATACTTCTTAAAATTAAACTTGATGAAATTCCAACAAATTATACCATAACAATTCCATCAATTTGTTGTATAAGTGAACGCCAAACAAAAACTGCCAAAATGAGACCCAAAATTGATGGTATTACGACGGCTATTGTATATATTATAAAATGTAAAGCACTGCAATTTAACATCTTATTAAAATCATCAAACATATATGAAAAGAAAAGTTCATGTGTACAGGAATCTTCTGTGCATAATTTAGAAATGTTTGAGAAATAAATAGGAATCTGATTTTTGGAGTTTCTGCATGTTAAAAAAAAAGTTGGAGTTAATTTAGCAGTCAATTTAATTACAATTTAAAAGCTTTATTTCACTTAATTGCATGAATGATGTTGAGATATTATTGATTGATTAGCTTACACGATATGATGGCGTAAAAATTTGCAAGTTTTTGCTATATTATAGTAAAAAGCTCGATCACGCTGTACATTTACTGCAAATGTTGCTGTTTGAAGTATAAATTCCGCAAATTGATTGTTTATTTTTGATTGTATTCCGTAAAAATGTGATTCACTATATCCGCGATAATCAAATGGAGTCTGCAAAAAAGTTGATTTAAAGAAAAAAAGGCATCCTATCACTTCTCGTATGTGCGGTGATGCATTAGTCAGAACAAAGAAATTGTTGCAGCTCTCTAAAATCAGTACTACTGCGCTCTTGATGATAGATTTTAATCATCCAGGCCTGACCAATGTCGATCGAGAATGAGAATATGTACGCAGGCGGAAATACATTTGATACTTGTTGCGCAGAAATGTTGATTCAAGACTTATTCACTTAAAATTCAATTCATCTTCCTTTAAAGATGTAAATTAAATTCATGAAGTTTCATTTCTCTTTCTATTCAAATCAAAGAAATTGCTTCAATGAAAATTGTACTTTAATTGAAACATCGAGTCATCGACTAATTTTATCATTAGTTGGATTTCTAATTTAAATTCAAAATTTAATTTCTTGCTTCCAGATCGTTAACAAATCATTTGCCAATTGTCATATAATCGAGCTGCCATATGTAAAAGCATATGTAATGCTTTTAACAGGTATATAACTACTCATATCATTATTTCTGGATGATTAATTCCCCACCCAATTTGATTAGATTCGGAACTTACTCGTTTAAAACGACGTGAATTCTCCCCTCTCACTTGCAGCATACCATATTTAAGTGTGCTTAAGTCCGGTATTAATGTGTCGTAACATGCCACTTCGCTTATCGCTAGTATTAGTAATAAATGTGTAAATGTTGGCCTCATTGTTATTCTAAAGAAATCATCATAAGAATGCTTTAAAATATCCAACCAGTTAAAAAACACTAATAGAACTTCCACCGAAATTTCTTCTCCATTTATAACTAAAGATATAGTGCCAAGAAGGACATTACACAGTAGAAACAACTTGTGTTAGGTTCTTTTTTTTAATTCCAACTTGAACATTTAATAATTAAAGCCGACAGTGAGAAGCGCCTCTTCTAAAGATAGTATTAAATTACAATGCTTTAAAACAATAAATAAGATGTATTTATTCTCATTATGAAACCAACAGTGGAGAAATTACTCAAAATAAAAATACTGCAAGGAAACTGAATTTTCTAAGTAACAATCTACCATAGCTCAACATTTTCATAGCATAAAAATAGTCACTATGTGGTAATAAGAAATTTTTTTAGAAAAATCAGTTTTTTGAGCATGACTATGTAATATTTTTTCTTTCAATTACAAAACCTTTCAAATAGAAAATCCCAGCTGCAGTGAAATATCTTTCGTAGAATTAGGAAAATTCAGTGGTTTCCAGTTTTCTGAACCATTGAGAATCTAATCAACCCAAAGGTAAAAAGGAACACTTAGCAACTTCCACTAACAACTGCAACAGTACCAGGTAAGAGTATTAAACTTTCAATATTTTTTTAACAAATATTTTTCAATATTTTCAATATTTTCAAATATTTTTTAAGAAAATAATCACCAAAGAAATGCATAACGTAGACTCAGAGATAAAAATCAAGCAAATAACAGTCACAATATTCTTCCCTTCTTTCGAGCTTTTTGTATCTTTCTTTTTTTGGTGATATCTTTACGAGCCTGGATATTTGCAGATCGTTTTTCTTGCTTTCGAGCTTGCATTTGCAACGTATGCTCGACACGATTTGCCCATTTCTTTTTCCTCCATTCTTTTATTTTTTCCTTCTTCTTTAAACTTTTTTTCAAAAGATCCGGATCATCCTGAAAAAAATACTTCTGTGTTTAGACCAGTCTCATAAAATTTTAATTCCTAAAAATTTGAAAAAAAAAATATCATTTCATTAAAGGTGAATTTCTACCAAAACTTTACCTTAACTTTCTGCCCTTCAGCACGACTTAATGCTTTCTTCCACTGGATGTTATTTTCAATTCTCAAAGCCTTTTCAGGATTCTTCGATCGTATCTGTTCTAATCTTTCTTCCCTTTTCTCAGCCTTTTGAAGCAATCGCTTATAGTCTTTACCGGCGAACTTATCTCGCTTGTCTTTTTTTGTTTCTTTCTGAAACTTTAGCAGTTTGATGTGCTTAAGAATAATCTGGAGAGGATTAACTGCTGATGAATCATATGCTACCTGCTTTTCATCTCTCACAATGAAATCAAATTTTGAAAAAATCAATTTGTCATCTTTTTCTTCCATTTTTTCTGGTTTCAATTCATTTTCTAATTTTACGCGTTTGTTCAGTATTGATTCATCTGATGGTAGTCTGAAATTTTTTGCAAATAAATAAACAAAAAAAAAGCAGAACTATTTACATATTTTTAAAAATATCAAAAAAAAACCATCAAAGAACAGATGACTGATATATTCCAAATGCAATAAGATAAAGGGTCAAAAATGAGAGAATTAGATTCTAAAAGATTCTGAAAGTTTCGTCAGATCTCTTTATGATATACTTAGAATTTTTTATCTGTTGTTTAGCATCTGTCCTTCTTTCCTTCATCTTCAGTTTACTCATGCGCCGTTTCAATTTCCGTTTTTCTTCATACTCGTATGCTGTCATCTTACCACGCCTTTGTGCTAAAAAATATGAACTGATCAGTCACATAATCACAGAGTTGTGATTTCCGTTATGATAGTACATGACTTATAGAAATAAAATTTATTGGTATAACATTTCTTTTAAAGAATACGATTCCATTTTAAACTGTTAATCATAACAAGTAGATTTACCTTTAAACTGCTCCAATTTTTCTTGCAGTTTCTTAAGAGCTAACTTACGGCCTTCCAAAGCATCGTCTGGTGCTACGATGGAAGTGGCTGCGAAAGATGAGCTACTTTCTATATTACCCGTTGTGTTATCTCGGATTGCTAGCATTCTTTTTCGGTTATTACTAGCACATGCTGTCCCATTTACGAAACTAAAAATGGATTACCGATTGCTTTAAAAATGGAATGTGAAACTTTGTTCCACAAGCTAAAAGTTGTTAACGAAATCGCAAAAAGTAATTTGCTATTTATAAAACAAAAAAATGCTTAGAAATGAACAATGTATATTTCGACCGAACTCAATCAAAATGCTAGAAAACAACAAAACATATTCTAATTCTTATAAAATTACCTTCCGTTTAATACCCCAGCGAAAGGCCTCGTCGAATTGCTGGCGTCTGAAACTTCAGAATCGATTGACTTACTTTTTTCTGTATTCGCGTTTCTGGTTTTTTTCAGTTCCCTCATCGCTTTGGGAATTATTACACGCTAAAAAATTTTTCAAATCGGAAACCAGGTATCTCGAAGTTTTTAAAAAGTATTTATAATATAATAATATAATAATGTAAGACACTCTTACCTTAACAGGTTTTGTATTAACACAATTTTTCGCCATCCAGTCCAGAACATCGGTGATTTTCTGACAATTTACACCTATTTCGCGTGCCAGTCGCTGCTTGGAAGCTTTACTGAGTTTCTGTTTTTGTTCTGAAAACATACTTCCCAGTAATGAAAACATTCTTTATCATTATTTACATACAAGTTCGCGAAATGCGACAGCATTCAAATAAGCAAATATAATATAGTAAATCAGCACAACTGCAAATACAAAGCCAACCGCTTGTTAAATGTTCATTAACAATTTTGTGTTTCTGTTCACGAAGCTCTTCAATCGTTTCATCATCGAAATGCCAATTTTCGATCGGAATCAAATCGATATTTCTTTTGATGATTTTTTCTATTTCTATGCACTTCTCCAACAATTTTTCTCTTTCCTCTTTTGAAAACATTGAAACTAAAAAGTGAAATAAATTCTTTGTGATTAAACTATTTTCACCGCGAATTAAAAATCTGCTGCTAAACTGACAATTCAAACCTACGTTTTCTAAAATATCCAAGAAATTACAGATATACGGACTGAACAAAAATTAAACAAAACATAGTAAACCGCATATAAACCGCATTTGTATCATCACACAGAATTTAAAAAATAATATTTGTTGATAACAACTGACTATGCGACATTTGGACAACCAGTAAGACGTAATTTAATGAAAAAATCATTACCAAACATATATATAAATTATATATCGGGCTGGAGCATCAATACAGAATTTAAAAATAGGCTGAAATCAAGTCATATGCTAAGTGGCAATCAATCGGTAGGTTGGTTTATGTTGGTATCTCTAACAAAGCTCATTAATGTAATGAAGTAAATCAAAACAAGGAATTACAAAAACAAGTCACAAATTAAACAAAAAATGTTATGATGGTGGAAGTAATTCAGTGCTTAATCTAGTCTGAATCATTTCGAGACGTGTTTCGAGAATTAGACGTATATCCTCAGAAAGATCTTTTAGCGATGTGTATCTCACTTTCTTCACGTTAAATATATCAACAATGAAGGAGCATATCTGTTCCTGAAAAAAAAAAAACAAACATCTTTTTTAAAGAACATTGAATGCAACCCGATTACCAGATAGTTCGAATTTCGCTAATAAATGATTAAAAAATGACAGTAAGGAAAGAGCTCCAATTTCTATAATGAATTATCAACGTAGAAAGTAACAAACAAGTCTGACTCTGCCTTTTGTAAGAGTTTCGAGCTTTCATATCAGACAGCATAATTGCATTCCAATCCTCTTTATAAACGGAGTCAAATAATGGAAAATATTTTGTTTATAACTATCCTTTTTCAAAATCATTTCATCTGCTGTCACTGGAAATTAAATGGTAAAACAAACTTTGAAATAGTGACATAACTCGCGTAAGTGCTCATCGGTTCCCAAGAAACCTAAAGTAATGGATGGAGAAGCTACTTCCGAGATATCGTAGAAATGTGATATAAATCCATTAGCTACCTAAAACCGGTTTTTATGTATAAAATATGCAACAATATTATGCAGTAAAAAGAGGAAGCAAACTGCATTAAGTGACTTCAAAATAGTGAGATTTTAAAAGCGGAAAAATACCGCAAGTCTAGCGCGTTTAGCTTTCAGCATAGACCAAATCACCGTTGATAATGTCGATTCCTTCATTGCCTGATTTAAAAACACGTTTCTAGTAACAGCCAGAACAGCGGATGGTGGTCGCGAAAGGTCTTCAAATGCATCAATCAAAATATAGTCTAGAACAACGTCCCAAAATCCCAACTGTGGTACCTAAAGCAAGATGGCTTTAGGTTAAAAAGAAAAAAAAACATTAAATAAATTCATTAAATAACTTTAAACATTAAAGAGCTTAAACATAGACCTGTGATATTTTCTATGAACCACAGATACTAATATATTAACTGATAGAATAGCTGACATTAGTCTTTAAGAACAATGAAAGGAAAACTTACTCCTCTTTGTTTTAATTCCCTATCAACAATTTCTAGATGCTGAGTTTCATTCAAATATTCCATCATAGCATCATAAGCTAAGTAAAACGGACTAGGGTCTTTGCTGGAGTGTCGCAATAAATCTGCAATTAGTTGACGCCCGGCTTGAGATAACCGTACACGATTATGTTCGTCTAATAAAATTTCCTGCAACAAGCATAAAACATAAAAACAGTATTGTAGCAGAAAACCTTTTTTTCATAAAACAGTACTGTAGCAGAAAACCAGTGTGCTTTTATTATATGGTGTAGTCTACATGATAAAATAGATAAATAACAGGTCTCGCATCGCAGACAAACACATATGGGGAACTGCATCACTTTTGCAGAAACTCACAAGTACTTACAGTGAATGCTTGCCGTATGCACCAGACTTTAGCTTTGAAATCAGCATCGTCCTCACAGCAGCAAAATTCTGTTCTAAAATTAACTCAAAATCTTTGTTATCATGAACGGTATTCCGCTCTGCAGCGTTAACTACATATGTATAATTTACCAACAAATCATAGATTAATTGGCTAATACAGAAATTGAAAATAATAAATATACGAATCTTATGCACCTTATTTTCCTGCAATTTACTTCGCCCGTCTGCGCAGCTGCTACACCCTCTTGATAGAAAAGTAATACGTCTTTATCCAAGTTTAATGGTTCACGCATCAGAACATCAGCATCATCTATGCTTACCGGCTAAAAAAAACAAAATATTGTAATCTTGTATGTTATCGTGAGAACAGAAAAAAAGATCAAACAAGATTTTATCTTCATTGGTAAGTTTCATAAAATCTTACAAATTCGTCGTAGGCTGACCAGAATGAATCGTCAGAGAGAACTGATAAAGTGCCCGCCCGTTGCGATTCTCTTGCTGACCAAACTGAATGTAATTCATTTCAAAACAAATTTACTAAATTTCATACTATAAGCAAAACTTAATTCTTCATTTTTTATGCCAAACGATAACACTTGTGACCACAGAGTTTTATGACTTACTAATTAATCAATCAAACACTTGAATAGAAAAAAATTAAAATTTCAAGAATGAGAATTCAGCAGAAACATTTGCTACTTACATGTTTCATCGCTAGATAGAATTTCTTTCTCATAACCACCTTCCTGCACTATTCTTATAATGTCTGTTTCCAAAATTCGTAACCTGAAACAGCAGCATATTACCAATAAAAAATGTTGGTTGGCTCTAAAAATCAAGATACGATAGAAATTTTCTCTTTTTACTTTTTTCCAAACATTATACTGACGTAAACTATCTGGGTAAAGTAACTGCATATAAAAGACATGAATTATTTTGATATGAGCTTCTGCCTTTAGAAATTCGTCACTTTCATGATTAACAAAATAAATCACTTTCATGGTTTAGCAGGAAAACAGCACATTTCTTACATCAGACAAAACCTTCTTCAACGAGTAAAACTTACACAGTAAGTGATATTTACAAATGTTTCATAATTATTTTATTAATTTTATTTTATTAAAAAACCTGTCTAATACAGAAGAAAGTAAGTCCGATCGTTTACAATCTTTTTCTGAACGATTTTTCACCATATCCAGTGCAAGAGTTGCTCGTTCCATCCGGAGCAATATTTCTTGCATCGATTGTAAACCTAAATTTGATTTACAACAAGATGAGTTACCTGTTCAAGAGAGAACAGGATAAAAAAGGTAATGCAGGAAGATTGATGAAACTCACTGGAAAGTAGATCCAATTCAGCGGAGGGTATATTGTTTGGTTTGAATAAACTTCGCTGTGATGACCCAAACGCTCTGGTCCTACCTATTCGTGCTATAACTTATTTAGTTGTTAAAAGTTCCTAAAGTACCAAGATAAATTTTTAATTTATATCGTTGACAACAAATCAAACAGTCTTTTAATCTAGATCAACAACACTCTGAGATAATTATGGAGGAATGTTTAGTTCAAAAAGCATACAAATGGTGAAATCAGCACTTTCGGGAACAACAACACCATTTGGAAGGTTTTCAGCACTATCGTCATATTTTTCAGATTCTCTTCTACGAAGGCTTCGCCAAAACCTCAAATCGTCTTAATTTCAAATACAATAATTCAAGAGATGTAATAAGAATGTCACCGTCATTATTTGTCACCGTCAAAACTAATTTCCCATAAGAGAGACCTAAGTATTTATGTAAGTTCAATTTTTCAATGCAACCCTATTTTCATCACAATAATTTTTCCTTCTTTATTGATACAATAAGCAATAATTTCATCTGAAATCAAGAAGTTACCTTTGTACAGCAAAATAACCGATTACTGCAACACCAACGCCTATTCCAAGGCTAACAATTATTGATGCCCGTCGAGTTGTAATATCACCACTGAGCATTAGCAATTAGGAGAAGTGTATGTTCTGAGCTTTTAAATAATTGATGTGATTCGAAAGACTGAAAAAACACTTCGCTGCTGACCCGTATTTCAAATTTAGGCTTTGATTTCTGAATTCTGGAAATCAAAAACGATTCCTTTTGAAAGTTAAATAAAAATGCTAAGTGTTACCAACACAAAATTGAAAAAAGATGGTCATTAACAAAAAATTACAAATCATTTGTAACACGTCATTTTGCATGTGTTAAAAACACCTCCTTTTGCTTTCGACGCCCTTGCATAAATAAATCCGTGTTCAAATTTCCAATGTCATCACAACTTCATTGTAAAACCACGTACATTCTAAAAAAATGAATCCATCTAGGCCTACTTTTATAAAAATAAAAAATAAACTTCACTAAATACCGTCCAAATAGCTAACTATGAATGATAATATAACTTGAAATATAATGCACTTTGATACAGTCAAGCTAGCAACTCCTATTTTTAGTACATCATAAGATTCGCAAGATAAAATTTATCTTAGCAGGTAAATCACTCAATATTCTCCCATTAACCAACAAGTCATATCTAAATCGTCTCTATTTCCCATGCATAATGTCATAGAGATGAATGAATTATTTCTTCTTGTATCTGTTGGCTATTGCATTTCACTTAAATTTGTTTCCAGTCACCTAGACTCATTCAATTTCAGTACGATCGACTCTCTATTTCCAGCCTTCTCTGTCCTAGTCGTTGTATTGACTATAAAAATAGTACTTATATATTTTCTGCTCTTGTCTTACTTTTCCTTTTCACAGTCTCGTACTGCTATAGAATAACTACTCAAGAGCTGAAAACTGATAATTGAAAACAGATCCGAAAACTGAAACTACGAGTTACCAATGTCAAACAAAACTTGCAATGTCTGTTTTAACAGATGTCACAAGTCTCTAAATGAAAATGATATTGTCCTAATGAATACAATGATTGCTTTAACTGCTTTCATCCCGATGAGACGGATAACAAGTTTCTATGAATTGTCCATAATTTTATCAAAAAGGACATAGGTTGGAGAAATTATGACAAATAATAAACTGTGCTTCCGACTGCTTTCTCTGTCGAATTATTTCGTATCCCACTTCAATAGCACAGCATAGTATTCCACTTCAATATCATTCTCTGCTTTCCTTGTGGAAAAGTTTGTTGGGTTTTAATTCCATTCCAGTACTTTGCTCCTTATCTTTCTCTCTTTTGCAAATGAAATCATTTTACTACAACTTTATACGACTATGACATGGAAAGATATATCACATATAAAGTGCGATGAAATGGAAAAATATAAAGATGGAAGGTGGAAGTGAAGCTAATAATGAAACTGTGCTATTTCATTTCTTTCTTTCTTTCTTTTTATTTTTTGAAATATTAAAAATATTTGTGAAAGAGCACTGGAAGAGCTTGGATAAGTTTAGTTAATAATGCATATGAATTAGCAGAAAATTAGAAGCTTTAAATTTCTGAAATTAGAAGCTTTAAACTTCTGAAATTAGTAGCTTGATACTTCAAACATTCGAGCGTTCTTGTCCATACATTCTGGTATATTTTCCAGTTCATTACAGGTCTTGCTTACTGGATCTATAATCTGTCCTGAAACGTATTTCCTTATTCTCATCGGAATTTAGTGTGTTAACTGAAGTTGAGGAGAAATTGTCCAAGCATAATTGAAATAAATGAAGCGATCTACTGTCATTATGATAAGTTTTTTTTCGAAATCCATTTTAGTTATTCATTTTCTAAATTTGAAAATTCTTATAATTGCATGAATAAAATTTAAATGATTTAGATTTGTACCTTCTGGACAGTTATAAGCGAATGTAACTTGTTTGCTACATACTATATATTCACTTTCACAGTCGTTGAAGTAAACGCCATCATTCAAACTTTTGCAAAAAGCTACAAATTAAGAGTTAAAAACATTTCGAATATATTTTTTGATTAATAAATAAATTTGATCCAATTCTACAGGTAATTCATACCTTGATCACGAATTACTGCAGCACCATCTCGTTTAGTCTCTTCTTCTTCCTGCTCCATTTCAGCAGATGTTGTCAAAAATGATCCTTTCCTAAAAATAACAGAAGATTGTGTAAAAGTTTAGAAGGCAAGAAATATGTTCAAATATCAATTAAAATGAATCTTTATGTAATGCTGTCACTTAACTCTGTGAAGAAATTTCTTCTATAAAAATTTGCTGATATCAGTTTTCAATGAATTTCTCAAAAATTCATCAGATTAACGAAAATACTTTTCTCCTGAATACTGCAAAATCTGGCAGATATTGCCTGAGAATTTTTGATCTAAAATATATCTTTAAATAACAAGAAAGTAAGCTGGTTCATGGTTAAAATTTTTCTAAAGAAGCTATCTGAAAAAACTTTTCGCTATGCATCATCATTGTATGCTTTGTTAAAGTGATAAGATAATTCCTATATCAGATACCCAATTAAGCTGAGAAATTAGGTATTTACCATACTTACTCATTAATGTTTCCCATCTCTGAACAGCCTTCGACATTTTCCGCATAATCACACATTTGTTCTTTTTCATTGAATATTAAATTGTGTGGACATTCAAAAAAGAACGTTCGACGATTAGCGCAAGCAACAAATTCCGTTTTACAGCCAATTGAATAGAAACTGTCAGCTTTCGAACGACAGTCAAAATCTGTATGTAATGGAAGATTTTGATAAAAATTTCGTTGTTATATCAATATGCATGCAAGTTCTGGGGCTCGAAAACTACAAAATATAATTAAAGGTAAATTACAAATTTTCATCAAGGTTTTGATTGAATTCCTTAATATCTTAAAGAGAGAAAATTATGCAAATTTATAATTTAAAAGTTGTATAAATTACCTTTAGGCAAAATTGGGAGAGATTTTCTATTAGATATTGGAACACTGACTAGTGCAGGTAAGTTATCGTCCGGTACTTGATTGGAGTGATTATCTGTCACTTTCTTCGGCTGAATATCGTATATTTAATACTAATACTTTAATTTTTAATTAATGAATTTCAGAATCACCAAAAAATATAGCAAATTTAAGATAAAATTTAGAGGTTATACCTTTGCCTCTTTGCTCTCATCTTGATCCACTGATTTTGTAGCAGTGGTATAAGCATATGCTTCCTCATTAGCCATAGTTCTGAAGAGTTTTTTACTTAAGAACTATGCATTATCTTCATTGGCAGCATCAAAATCTTGAAAAGCCTTAACTTTTTCATCCTTGTAAAATTAGCCAAATTAAAAAGAAATTCATTAAGTTTCATATTCATCTTTCCCGTCTTGTACGTTAGTAGGAATAACATTTTGGTTTAAAGCTTAACATTAAATCTGAAATTGTAAGTAGCTTTGACTGATTTCTACAGGATAAGTTTTTTAGTTTCAAATCAAGTTCAATTTAAACTTACTTTGAATCTTTTGAAGCTAAATTACATAAAGGAACATGTTCTTTATAATTGCAAACTAGCGTTTCGCTATCGAAGAATAATCCTTCTGGACATTTCATACGATATCCATGGCCAGAGGCACAAGAATAGAAATAGTTTTCACAGCCTGCTGAGAATAGTCCATCACCAGTTGTATTACAGAAGCAATCTTAATATTAGAAGTATAGAATGTGGAAAAAACGTAAGAATAAGTTTAAATTTTGAAATTGAATTTTTAGATTACAGAAGTTTCTCTTCCAAATTTTAACAAATACATGTGGTAAACTTTCATAAACTGAAAACGTAACAGAACGAGCAGAATCTGTAAAATGTTAATCACTACAGCAGGAATTAATAAACTAAAAAATTTACCTAATTCTGGTGCCAAAATTACATTTGATATTAGGAGAGGATTGCCTGCAGCTAACAAGGAAGAATTTTCCGTGGTTGCACATTCCGGAAGAAATGTCATATTATCACATTGTTTTTGCCTTACATCATATGCTTGCCCTTCTGGGCATCTGAAATCCAAAAATGTACTTCAAACTCTTCCTGCTTTTGGAACTCCACTCCTTAATTAAATAAATTATATAAAAATTTGATTTGGATTTGAACAACATTCTTCAATATTAATTGAATCCAAAGTTTAATTAGTAAAAAACGGTTAAATGGAATTAATGAAATTAGCAAAAAATGAAACGATTACTGAAGTTGAAGAAGTTGTCCATCTTTACAGCTGTAGTAAAATTGTGAACAAGCAGAATGTTTCACAACACTCTCATTCAATGCAATGCAATTTGATCCGATATCGCTATGTATAATCAACGATTTCCTATAAGTTATTCCTTCAACAAACATTATTTATGTAAGATTTGGTATTGAATGATCTATTAAAAGATTAAAAGATCTAGCATTAAAAAAACTAGTATTTAAATTATCATTGAATTAGCAATCCGAGAGAAAATATCCCCAAAGTAATTATGAATCATTTTAGTTTTCTTGACAAATTTCCCTCATAAAGTTTATTTTCAAAGCAATAATTAAAATCAAATGACTTATTCGTGCAATCGTCAATATTGTTCGCTATATCGCATTTCTTAGTTATTGCATTGAAAAATAAATCATCTCGACAAACTCTTCCGATAGTTTTACCATTTGAGCAATGCCAGAAATCCTGGGAGCATTGTCCTTTAACCGCGGGATAATTTCCATCCCGTATTCCCGTACAATTCATTTCTCAACAGATAATTATAATATTCTATCAGAAAGCACAATAACTAAACATAATCCATTGTGGGATTTTTTTTCCAAAAATTTTTGACATTTAAATTCTAAAATTACTCTCCACGTTTTTTGATAATAAAAACTTATCACCCATGAAATATCAGTAATTGCCAAGGTGCTTTTGAATTAATCTATACCAACAATTCTCAGCATACTTTTTAATAGATACTGTGAGAAACTAAGTTAGTTTCGATATATGCAAACATCGCCATAGGCGAGAAAGCTGACAATGTTTCACTTACCTTCTTCAGATTTCCATAAGCTTGTCCGATACCTAAAATTAATTCATTTAGCGCCTCTTTTTATATTCGAAATGAATAATAATATACTTGAAAAAAACAAAAAAAATTTAAAGCAAATAAGTTAAGGATAAGTTTTGCATATATCTGAGAAAATATTGATTAGTTATAATAATCCGAGCACAATCAGTGCTCAGATAGAAATTCTGATATTTTGAATTTGATTCAGCAAGATTAAATTCTTTCTGATTAATAATTAATAATTTCTTTCGAAATATCACGGTTATTTTTTTTTCTATACGGATACGATGGTATGTTAATGAAAAATTTAGAATGGTGAAATCGTTTTAATCCATCTACTGATAATGATTGCAATTATTCTTGATATTTATACCATATGCAAATAATTAAATGCCCTTTTTATAATCTATAATATCAAAGCCAACAGTACAGTGCTGAAATTCTTTCTAAATAAAGAAGAGAAATAACGGCATTTTTACAATGTCTGTCGAGCAGGTCGCTTTTTATCATTACTATCATGACCCATGCTATTCTTTTCTTTACCGGCTGACAATCTAGGCGTGCCACCAGTGTATCTTCTATTTCCATTAAAAGTGGACAATAAATTCCGTTCAATATATTTTCCTATAAAAACAAACGAAAACAAAAATGAATTTTAAAAAGTGAAAGAAAAATCTTGAAATGCTACCATTTTTTCAGCTTCAATTATAATTGAAATGAATTTTAATTCTAAATAAGGTTTTAAATTTTAAGAGAGAGAGATAAAAGCATAAAATCTATAAAATCTACAACAACCTCTTTCACCCAAATGACTCTCCCGGCGTTCATTGTATCCTTGCAGCGCAGTCAGTACATTACATTCATCAATGCTATCAACTTCATCACATGCTTTCAACTTATCATTGTAGTATAAGCCAGCTGGACACAACATTTCCGAGGAATGACCGTGAGAACAATGATAGTAAGTTGTCGAACATTTTCCACTGCCATAAACACCATCCTCTCTCTTTGAACAATCAAAGGGATCGCTGCAAATGAAATTATTCTATGAAAGCGTTGAATTAATTGTAAACATTTCATAAAATTGCTAATAAAAAATTAAATTAGCATTTAAGCTTCAATTATTTAATAAGCTAAAATTGTTTATTAAATTTGAGAAGTGTCAAAAAAAGCTCATAGGAAAAACAAAACTTACTCTGCCTTCACAATTATTCGATCATTATCCATGCTAAAAAAGATCAATAAATTAAAAATGAAATTCGAAATGTGATATAAAAATATTAGATGAAGTATTTCGAGGTTGAAGTAAATTACTAAAATCTTAATTTCTTAAAATCAACTTATTTGAAATGCTTACTTATTGATACAAGCAATAACTTGTCTTCGTTCTTCACATTTAGCTGTTTCAACATTAAATTTCAGATTATTGCGACATCTATACACATATAATTTGCCATTATAACATTTCATGAATTTTGATGAACAACCACGTCCATAAAGTCCGTCAGAATTGCGCTTGCTACAGTCTAAGACAGCTGATCCTGAAAGCAATTCAGCTGCCGAAAAAATTGCAAAATTTTCATGATATTGATTTATCTTCAAATGAAATGATTAAATGCCTTTTTATCTGTCTTGAAATCTTTCTATCATAAACTGATTTGTTATCAATGATGCAAAATGAGAAAGAATTCAAAGTCCACAAAAGTTTCTTAACAATATATTATTTATTATTGATACAGAAGAAAATACTGTTTTGGTGCTATTAATTTATAATTAAAATTAATTTAATACATTTTCTTTTAGTAGAAAAAAAGTCATTTGAAACTTTTTTTTCAGGCTAATAAAAATTATTGATTTAAATTGTATTAGCAATTTTATCGATTTTTATTAATATACATTGAACGACTTACTACTGGAAGCATTCTCGATAAGATTTATTTGAAAGAAAATGATTAAGAAACCAAGCAAAATCATTCTGTAATAAATAATTGATAAAAGCTCTCAGAAATTCTTAGCACTAAAAATACCAACAAACTGTAAGCAATGAATAAATGTAAAGAAAATATTAAGAAAGAAGGCTACCAATTCTCGAGAATTTTTAATCTCCGAAAATAATCTTAACAATTTAATGCATAAAATATCTTCCGGAAGATTTTTTTCACATTTCAAATATATATTTCCATCAAAAACTTCTCATGAAGTGTATCAAAATTATCATTGCAATTATATTTTTGTTTGCTTCATGAGAAATTTTTCCCGTTATCATTCATGATAAAAATTCATGATAACTATCATTCGTAATAGTTCAGTTCGTTCGTTCGTTCGTTCGAAATGCGCAAATTAAGAGATCTTTGATATTATTAAAAATTTTAATTCAATTTCAAAATTTAAAACAATACAAATGATAGAATGTATTTTAGATGAAAAATTCATTCGATGAAAAATTTTAAAATTTTGATGCATATTGACGATATCATGGGATATTGCATTTCTATAATATATGCATTGTAATTTCTTCATTTTAGATAAGTTAATATTCGATCATAGGTTAATCTGATTACAAGTAAACTTTGAAGTGATGCATAATTTATAAATGGAAGAAATTAGGAAGAGTACTGACAGTTTTGATTGTTTCAAATTGACAAAATTATCGAAATTTGAAATCGTAATTGTGGTGAAACAATAGTTGATTAACGATTTTTCTAAATTTTCCAATATTTAAAGCCATTTATTATACTTTCTATTCCATTATCTCATCATATTTTTCATATGAATTTAACTTAATTTAATTTTATCAGTGATTTGTTCTTTATCAAAGGTTGCTGAAATTCACAAATCAACGATCAGCAGATTAAGTTGAATGAAAATAACGATTTGAAGAATCAAAATTTTCGACATACTTATGTTCAATATGAATGTTCTAGAATAATTTCGTGAATTAACGAAAAATACTTTCGTTTCGTTGATCTTAGGTGTTAACTCCATTGTGTTAAGTAATGTACCGCATTTAATTTAAAAGTGTTCAGCAATCTGCCAATATGAAAGATTTATAAATCTGAAAATATTAGGTTCGAACCTAAAGTATAAAGGACGTGCTGTAAAATCTCAATTAATCAGAAAATCTTAAAAATTCAATTTCAAATTGGTCTTGAGATGCGGATTTGCATTGTGACACACAGAGAAGCCGTACAGCGAGATTACTTTTCTCGGGAGCCACTCATCTGAATTACTTTGGCGGGATTATTTGATTTCTTAGCTTTACTGATATTTGCATTCGTCTAATTCTGTTATATATATATATATATATATATATATAATTAACAGATTTCTATCTCTACTACTATGTTTATAGCAAATGTCAGGATTTACTGTCACCAGAACTACGCCAGTACCAATACAACGGTTTTATGTTGCTTAAATTAAGCAGTAAGCTAAATTCTTGCTTAATTATTTTGTATTGATTTTTCATTGCGACTGATTGATGCAGTAATGTGCGCAGAGACGGTGGATTCTATCGTAAAATAATATGATTGATATAAAATTATTTGCAGAAGCTGTCTAAGGACTCACTAAGGAAGACTTTCAAAAAAGTAGCGGAATTTAAAAAACTGCTGCTGAAGAAAACAGAACTTCTAAGAGAGCATGGGACAAGGGAAGTTGTGTTTAAAAACAAGAATTGATTATTAGAAGACGATAGATAACAGTTTAATAATTAAATAAAAAAATTAGTAGCATTTCAGACTATTTATATGTTTGTTACGCTAATAGTTTCATCCTCGCAGATGATTAAAATACGTAACACACTGCTTACGGGATTGGACTGAACAATTCATCAATTTTCTTGAAAGACCAACACCATCATGCATATGTCGGACAAACTGGATTTCAAATACAAATTTCAAGCAATTATATATAGCAAGATAGAGACATCAGTTGTGCGCCTACTTATCCCAATATGCATAAAATTAAATGCCGGAGATACGCTACAACAAGGGATGACTAATTGCTCAACATTTATATAACGTGAAAGGGTATTCATTGATTATAAAAATTCACTTTTCGCGCCTTTCACATTTCTGCTGAAAACTTTACATATATTTCGAAGAAGGGCTGAAGAAGAGACCAATCTCTGTATTTTTCTGAAGCTTTGCAACTCGATATCGTTTCACTGTCTTTCGTAGAGCAATCGCAGATGATGTGCTCATCATCTGCGATTGCTCTACGAAAGAGTTACGCCAGGACAAAATATAGCATAAAGTTATTAGTCCACCTGAAAAGGATAGGGAATTGATTCTGAAGTGGAACCAGAAATGAAAAGAGAAAGTTGGAGATTACGAACTATTCTAATTATTCTTATGGGGTTAACGCAAGGTTAGCGAGCTATGATGTATGGTATGATTTTTGATTGTTGTAGAAAAGCTAATTATGCACATTTGGTAGTATATTATATACAAAACAGAAAAACTTATACAACTTTTTTGAAAGTGGTAAGTTTGTGGAATATTGTTTCTGCCTATTATGATTGCTAAAGCCACCAAACAAAACATGTCGGATTTTAAGATAATCTAGGTTACAGATCAGCTAAATGCTAGATAATTGGCGATAGAACCGTCCAAGTGGAAGAGTACAGAAACGAAACGATAAATCAAAAATTTGAATTTTCAAATATCTTAAAAGTTAATACTGCCTATTTAAAAAATTTGTAAGGAGTTTTTTGACTTATTAAAAAGAACAAAATGTTATCATCGATGTGTGAAATGTCAGGAGGCTATGATACACATCTAAGAGGAAAATACGCCATATAGTATGGGATAGTTATATCCAGCATTTCGGGATAATTGACTTGAAGACAAACTGTAATCAAACTCAATGAGAAAAGCAAAATTTGGAAGTTTTGAAAAGATTTTCAAATACGAATCTACCAGCCGATGGACGATCGGTTCAGGAAAACAGCTGCTTACTGCACAAAACAATGAATAAGCCCGCGATGAAGCAGCCACACAATCTGATTTTTTTTTTTGTTAAACTTCCTTGCTACATAACTAATGAGTTGCTCAAATTAAGGTAATGAGTATTCATAGTCTCGAGAAACTATAATTAAATCGCTGCCTATATTTTATGATTTTCCCGGAAGTACATCAAGCCAGTCATAATGCAGAATTGGTAAGCTTGATACTGCGCTAGAAATTTTTCATATCATATCAGTGTTTCAAATTTACGACATCATGTATCAAACCGGCATTTTCATTTCGCTCGATTTTTCAGTAGATTACAATAAATACGAAAATGAGAGGGCAAAAATCGCGATCTAATAGCAAGCAGTTCCGAGTACAGATTATATTTGCAGGATAGGAATTGATCATTACAAAGACACAAATTTCAGGTTTTTCTTCCACGATTATGTAAGGTATCGCCTGCATCTTTTACCCATTACTACTGCATGTCGCACGCACTTTGTAGATATTTTTTTTGGACGGAGAAGATATATAAAGATTTGTCCAAAAAATACAGAAGTATAGCTGTGCAAATGTAAAAATTTGTTGTAGTGTAAAGTATCTTCGAAAATTAATAAGTTTAAAATACTCGACATCAATTGCGACAAACAAAGAAATAATAATAGTGACAATGATATGCCGGCTATCTTGTTCTTTATTTCTCTGTAAAGTACCCAACCGCTAAAATTTTATAAACGTTTCCGTTGTCAGTTAGTTAAAAGAAGCTCGTAAATAAACCTATACACACACATTTACACAGACACATGCACATACATAGACAGACAAATATAGACACAGATACAGATACACACACACATGGAGAAAGACGCATAATAAACTGATTTAGGTTGTGGAAAAAATTATGATTGAAAGTATAAAATGAGGAGATAATAAGCGTTTGTAAATAAGCTATCAGCACTGACCGAAGATGATGTTCGTTGCAGCTGATCGATCTACTTTATTTACTTTGCACCTGCACCTGATACATAGAGATCATTGCGTCATTCAACAACAATCAATTGCTCCACATCGACATATTGATTTAGAATTCATTTTTTCTTCTTTTTATAGGAATCTTTTTATGCTCATGGGATTAAATGCTAACTTTTATCTTTTTTTCCCTGCAAAGATACTGAATTAAGCTTTGTTTTTTGAACTATTTCAAAATCTCCAATATTTTCAAAACGATCTTCACTTCTTTGTATCAAAAAATCGTACGATTTATTTAAGAAAAAACTTATCTGTGCTTTTTTAAAAATAAGGTCAAAGATTTGATGTTTTCAAACAGATACAGAAAGAAACTTTCGATGAGATGAAATCTCAATTAGGTAAAGTTAGAAAAAAAATTCAAGCATTTCTTTCTGACTTAAAAAGAAACTGAAACTGAACAATCCAAGTTTCAGTAGTTGGAAGCTATCATCCATATCGAAGTACATTTATATGAAGCTTACTCGTTTCATATTTTCTTTCTTAATTTAAAATGAAAAGAGTAAATCTAATATGTATTTAACAGAAAGCATTGCTTCCATACAACTTTCAGAGAATTTGTTTAATCACTACTTTTACTGCACATTGCATGTTTTCTTTTTTGCATACAGTTTTTTGATTACTATTCTTATTCCGAAATTTTTATATAAAATACTAAAAATTTAAGTTTACAGTTTATTAAATGCTCCATGAAAAACTTCTCATTTTCCAACATAAAGAAGATTTCAAATTCCTCGATCTTAAAATTGTCGTGGATTTTGAAGAGGATTATTGAAAATTTTCAAAGAATTAGATGGATGATCGCCGTGCGCAGCTGATATTTACTGAACATTATAGGAATAATAGGGATAACAGTTATTGACAACAACAATCAAGGAATCCGCAACAACCTCCACAGAGATCACTACTGCCATTACTAATACGATAATTACAGCAAACCTAAAGCTATAAGTCTATCAGAAAAAGACAGGTAGAAATAATATCAAACACTGG